GCGCGAGGTCACCGTTTATCAATGCGCCCGAGCATCGGTAGGTAGTTCTGAGTGTGCTGCACAATGCGACTCCTTATTGGCGATATCACCTATACAACTACGAGCACACGGGAGGGCGAGTCATCATAACTTGCGGCATATTGACAGATCTGTCACGTGTGTCTCCTATAAATTGTCTTTATTGGGAGTACAAATGATACTTCCCCGCATTTTATTACCCGCGCGGTTTACGTACGAAAAATTAAACGATAAATTGAAATGTAACGACGATAAAATCGCCCCGCGATCGCGGCGTAGGCGCGCAATGTACGCGTCGATTCCTCGCGTTCCTGCAACGTGTCGAAAATGAGATACGACAAGAAATACCGCGGAAGATAAGATAAAGTGCGACGCTCGCCAACACGTACGGACAATTTTTCAACTTCCACCTGCTTCTTACATCATTCTACCGATGTCCCTCGGGAGCCAAGTATAACGGGAAATTATGTACGACCGCCGATAGGAATTTCTTTTGAGCGAATCAGAATCAGAATCTCTCTCTCTCTCTCTCGTCATCTATTAAATGCTTTGAAATTGTGTCCTCCAACGTATATATAGACATTATTGCAAAAATCAACAGTACATAAATTAATGCGCTGGGTTCGTCATTACGGCCCTTGAAGTCTTACTAAAACCACACCTCAATGTATGTCTAGGTATGGAATTCCATACGTCGGAATCTATAGATAAAATCATTTTTCTATTTCATTTACAAAGTTTTTTTAAATTCGTACTGTTAAAATTAAATAAGCGCTCCTTTTCAACTCTTCGGCAATAAAAAATGAGATCTAAGATTTAGATATCGATGTTCTATTAAATATTTTTATTAACACCCATAACTTGACCTTTTTAAGCATGGTGGTAATCCACGTTACCATCTCAACTTCTTTACTTTTTGGCCATTTAATTTCTAGTTAACGCATTTAAGTCGGGTTTTTTGCATTTTTTGGATATCTTAGCAATAAAAGAACAAAAAAGAGATGAGTAGTCTTTAACATTTATTATAAGTTTTATAAATAAACAAATATGAAAAAAACAGCAACTTTTTCGGAAAAATTCATTATTGACCAAGTTTTTAAGATTATTTCTTGAAAACTTTGTACAAAGGGGTTTTCGGGGTCGCCCATTACGAATCTGATGTCAGATTTTCAAAATTAAAAATAGCCAACCCAAAATGGCGGATACAAAGCACGTGATTTTTCAAGTTTTTAAGGATTTTCGTTTCATTACGGTATTTAGGGACTCGTCACGTCCGCGTTGTTAACTCTGGATAGTACCAAGAATGAGTAAATTCGAAGAAATGATCCAATTTCAATTTTGCATCCGTCATTTCGCGCGCGCTTTTTTTATATTTTATAAGAATTCTCAATTGGAATTTAGTTTCCACGAGCCCTAATAATATCTACATGTTTCTTAGCATAGTTGAATTACAGTTGAATGATGTTATTCTTTTAAGTTTGGAACTCCACCATCTTGAATCCGCCATTGCACATTATGAAAATCTGACAACAAATTCGTAATCAGCGACCCCCAAAAACCCTTGTATACAAAGTTTCATTAAAAAATGGTATAATAGCAAAATGTATGCCTCAAAGGGTTAACAAAACAAACATTCGCCACTACCTGTAAGAAATAAATTATGGTTACTTTTACTTTACGTTTGTTTAACTTTATCTTTCAGTTAATTAGTTGCTTTTCAATGTACTCCCCTCCCCTCTTCCCCGTCATCAGGCTGACCTGGGCTCAGGAAAAAACATAATGACGCCCCTGTTAGTGCGCATAAGATATTAAGACAGTAAAAGTTAAGATAAGAAGAGAGAAAGAAGAAAAGATTAAAATGTAACAAAGTAAGAAACGAAGCAGAAAGTGAGAGAGAGAGGGGGGGAGAGAGAGAGAGAGAGAGAGAGAGAGAGAGAGAGAGAGAGAGAGAGAGAGAGGAGGGAGGGAGGGAGGGAGCATGACGCTCTTCAACTTCATAATCTGTTACGTCGTCCAAGGTAAAATTCTGCGGCGTAAAGTTAAGTGTTCTCTCAAGACCCGCGATCGATAATCATCAGGGCACTCTCGAATGTGTTAGCGTTGCGCCGAATTTTCGCGTGTATATCCGTGGGATGTATGCAAATGTCAGGTGGAGCGATAAGCCGCGGCGCTCGAGATGAACCGTCAGCAATTATGCAGCGCATACAGCATATCATCGTTTCTGGGAAGGAAACGCAGTAGTTTTGTCCGCGAAATAATACATGTTACTACAAATGTGCACGTTCACCGTTGATGCATAAACGAGGAAGCGAATGCGAGAGATAAGCACGGAGATTTCAGACCACGCGTACATTTTATATTCTTAAAAAAAAAAGCAAAAATTACCCGACCGCGTGTCTAATCGGCTGCCGGAAAATTGCGCGCGTTCTCGCTGCGTCAGCTCCGCGTCTCCGTCTGTGAAAAAAAGCGGGGTGAAAATTGCACGTCGAATCAGCGCGCGCGTAAGAAACCGGTATACCGCGGCCGAATGTCATTCTCGCCTCGGAGCGAGAGAATTAAAATAATAGCGGTGACTATACGATCACGCCTACGCGTATCGAGCGATGATTTCAGCGCGAGGCGAACGTGCAGCGAGCGCTGCGTCGCCAAGTCCGACACGCCGTGAAAATCGCAATCGTGGCCTCGTTTAAACAGCGCGACTTCCCAACGAGATCGCGCCTCGAGGTAACAAACGCGAGGGGCATCTGCGAAAAGATGTGCCGCCCAAATTGGTCGTCGTGAGAAACGAGAACACGACGAGGGCGAGAATCCCCACGAAACATTCCGACGTGTGATCGAATTAAAATTGCAACGCTCGGTGAGATCGCGAAGGCCGAGAAACGAATCGGGATCGATCGGCCAGGAGAAGCGTGTGTAACAAAAATACGCGGCGCATATAAATGTAGGAAACGTCTCTCTCTCTCCCCTAATCGCACGTTCGTGTTCTCTCTCGTGCATTTCCCCTCGTTATCTGTCCTGTATCGTTATCTATTCCTCGACCGCGTAACGGATACTCGTGCGCGAGTCGCGTTGCAACCGCGAAGCGCGCGATAGTCGATATCAAACTTCGCCGTCGACAGTTACGAGCTACTCGCTCGAGTAAACAGACGGAACGGTTTTGGCGTGCAAGAGCCAGACGAGGGCCGAGGTACCTCGTGTGCAACGTGCGGCGATTATCGACAGTCATGTTTACGCTCCAAAGGCAGACACGACCTGAGGTTCTCTCACAAGTCGCCCTCGTAAGGGCTCATACGTCGCGTGTCTCGCGAGTAAACCAATCTCGAAGCACGATTTCGAAATTATTTAACGCGGAAAGTCAACACGAGAGAGTGCGGTATGAGTCACTTGGAAAATCCCCTTTCTAAGCGAGAACCAAAATGTTAATTTATACTCACTTAATATAAATTTTTGATTGTTAAGTAAAGGCTCTATGTGTAAAAACTAGTTACTAAAGTCATATATAATGGGCAATAAGAGCCAGGCGCTAGGTGATATTTGCGTGTATTCAAATAATAGGTATTCTATTAATTTCTAAAATTTATTTAACATTGTCAGACGTTTCGACCCTCTTATGTGGTCCTCTTCAATGACAAAAAGATAGATAATAGCTTGTATGATTAACGAAATCCAAACCTCACGCTCGCACCGCAATACAGAAGTGGATACCAAATACTTAATATGGTATTAGAGACGCACATCTTTATATAATATTTGCGTTCAATCTAGAGTACCATTATTCATCTGTCGATTCAAATTCATTTGTGAGTTAATTAAATACTTTTGAAGACTTTAACTGTACAGGAGAGATTGTCCTTGTGACACTTGTGGTTGCAGTGTTTTAAATAAAAAAACTGTTAATTTATACAAACACCGAGAATGGGGAATTGTAGTAATTGTAGGACAGGGGGAATTATATGTCACAAGAATGAACTTATTGTCGCCAGTAAATAATTTCCTCAGTAGTCGAATTGGTGAGACGCCCGCCTAGAGTGTAGAGAGGTCCAGGTTGAAACCCTGGCTGAGATAACGTTTTCCGTAATAAATTTCCTTAATCAGAATTCATCAGTTGTGTCGATCGTTAATTTCCTACGTTGGGAATTATAAAATTGAGAAGGAAAAATGCTCTTTGGTCCTCTCCTCTCGTAGAGTGCACATACTCGCGAGAAGCACGAGGTGCTCGAGCATGAGTAATAACGCGATGCAATTGATATGAATTTATTCAGCGATATGAATTCCGAAGAGTTCGAGATTACGTAAGCTCTCGATATTGACACGGCGCGTCTACTGACTGCAGTTGTTTACACAGACCAGAAAGCAGAAAGCTCAAACCCGGGACGGGGTGGTCTCTCGTGGAAGAAGCTTTTACTCAACGATCGCTCGGACGCCGCACTTAAGATAAGTGGCGACTAGAACGCGAACGATTGAATCTTTCTAATCGTTGAATCCAATTTAGATCTAGATATCGGTTCTCTTTCTTCTTCTTCTTCTTCTTCTTCTCCTCCTTCTTTCCTCGGGCCAATGCATGATGTAACGAACGGATTTTGCACGCGCATAGGTCTGATTAAAGCCAACACTATCCACTCGCTCACCAGTGGCGTTACTTTCTCTCACGAGTGACCCCATAAAATTTCTAATTGCTCGACTTGCGTCGTTCAGTCAATCGTTAGGCGCCGCGGGAGGGGAAACCCACGGCGGATCTCATTCTGCGCGACGTCCGCGAAATTAACGGCAGCTCGCACGGCCCGTTGGAGCCCTCGGTCGGGAAACTTTTCCTCGGATCTGCGAAAAGGTCTGCGAAAAATGCGCCGGGAACGGGAGCGTGTTATCGACAGATCCACTTTAATTAGGACGAATAGGGGGCAAGGAGATATGGGGGCGGGGGGGGGGGGGCACGAGGAGAAAGAGGGACACCAGGGCAATCTCGACGTATACTTGGTACTGACCTTCTTAACTTGAAAGTGCTCCGGCCTGAGATTCTCGACGATCTCCTGGTCGGGCTTGGCGGGCTGCGGGACCGACGACCGGAACCCGTCGAGTACACCCTTGATCGTGAACTTCTTCATCGCGTCTGCCAAATGGGGTCGGCCACTCAGGGGGAATCACATGTGCAACCACCGCCGCCGTTCGTCCCTCCGTCCACGAGATCACGGCCGGGAATTCGAAGATTGGGCTCGTCGCGCTCCTCTCTCTCTCTCTCTTTCTCTCTCGACTCGAGCTCATTCGCGGAAATCCAATGACATGTTCTCGCTCTCTTTCGGCGCGATTGAGACACCGCTGCTGCTGCTGTCACTACCACCGTCGAGTGATGCTCTTTACATTTTGACAGTACGTGCTAGCGAACGTGTCAGCGAAGCGGAGCGGAGCGGGGCCGAATCGCGCCGCACCGCGCCGTGCCGTGCCGCGCCGCGCCGCGCCGCGTCGCGTCGCGCCGTGCCACGGACGGGACGGGACGAGATGCGTCGTCCGCTCTCACTGTGTCGCGCACCAGTCAGCCTCCACAGTCTGGAGTACAGGTGAAGATTGTTAACACGGCGGGGGAGAGAACCGTCGCCCGGTCCTCACGGCGCTCCGACACTTTTACGCCATACGCGGTAACGGCGAGCGCGGCCGAGACGTGGCGAGGCTTGTTTTCGTAGTTGACGGCAATGCGGTGTTGTTTAATCGCGCCAGGATCAATAACTGGCAACAGGCTCATGTGGAGTTTCGCACGGCCGCCAGCGCCGTGCTGCGCGGGCGCGATGCGCTCCGCGGTTGGGCGCGCAATCGCGAGTGGGTCGTATTCGCGATTGGCCGGATTGGCACGGTGACGCGTGACCATAGACATAATATATCTAGACCACAGTTATGGAGAATGTATTAAGGCCCGGTTTCACCAACGTGAGTTAATCTAATCGGTCGGTTAACTTGACAGGGTGCCAACATAAAACTTCTTTATTAACCAAGAAAATAGGTTAATAAAGAAGTTTTATGTTGGCACCCTGTGAAGTTAACCGACCGATTAGATTAACTCGCGTTGGTGAAACCGGGCCTAAGCCTATCACACAATACCAGGCAACAGGCAATAGGAATAGCTAGGGAATAGAATTTTTGACGCGTTGGATTCGTCGGAAATTTTCGTTCAACCAATCCAACACGTCAGAAATTCTATTCCCTGTTCCTGTTGCCTGTTGCCTGGCATTGTGTGATAGGCTTAAGGAGACCGAACTATAGGCCTGTTCTTTATTACTGCACTACTGAACTAGTGCAATAAGTTAAAATGAAACAAATGGGGTGCTTACGAAGAAGCGCTCGGAGTTAGGTTTGGGTCGGACATGCGTACGCCTCTCAATGATTCATGTATTTCATGTCTTGCCCGAACTGTCTCTAAGTCCCAGTCTACAATAGAGATTTAAGCCCTAAGCCTAAGTCCCAGTCTACAATAGAGATTTAAGCCCTAAGCCTTAAGAAATTAACTAATCACAGTCGCGCATTCTACTCATACTTGACCGTGATTGGCCAATTTCTTAAAGCTTAGGGCTTAAATCATCTATTGTAGACTGGGACTTAAGAAATTGACTAATCACAGTCGCGCATTCTACTCATACTTGACCGTGATTGGCCAATTTCTTAAAGCTTAGGGCTTAAATCATCTATTGTAGACTGGGACTAAGTCCCAGTCTACAATAGATGATTTAAG